TGTCACATTTCGAGAAGTCTTTGAGAATTAAGCCATCACGAACTTCTAGAAGCGAAATAATGGATGAATGTTGGGGTAATATTGAGCTGAAACTTTCCACTCTACTAATATTATCTGTATTTAATGGCAATTCTTTGAGCATTCCTATTGTTTTGGCGTTAATGTCTTGACTGCAGATCTTATTATAATCTAGCTCCCCACACGTTTCTGTTTCAGATAAAAGAACTTGTATTTCATCAGTATCTACCTCTTGTCCAGCTCCTGGTTCGTCCAAATGTTCACAATTCTCAACATTTTTTGATACGCAAAGCAAGGGCAAGCGATTTCAGCTCCTTAGCTCAACTTCCATTCCCAAATCTCTTGCATCTTCAAGTGCTTTGTTGAAAGCACTTGTCACTATGAAGTCAGTGTGTTCATTGGTAAGCTGATTCAAGTTCCAGTCTATGGTACTACTTTGGATATTGCCTTTGATTCCTCGGTGAGACCCATTTCGCCTCGCACTATTCTTAAGTTCTCCAATGATTAAAAAGGTAAATGACAGTGGTCTTTGCCTAGAGGTATAATGACTCCTGATCCTTTTTCTAAGCTTGTTGGTGGTTGTGGTTTCTCTGCCAGCTTGTCTCTAAAGTATTTAGATATTGTATATAGACGTTTCCTATGTTCTGATACAAACTGAAACTTTGTAGGATGCAAGTAGAATATGCCAAAAAAGTCCTCCCGTTCATCCTCGGAAATCACGAAAGGCATTTCTTCTCTAGTAAACTTTTCAATTTCCACTATATCTTCGTCCGACAGCTCAGCTAATAATCGGTCGTCATCAAATCCATTCATTTTCAAAACGCTTTTTATAGACTCTGGAATGGTTATTTTTAGCCCGCATTCTAGTTCGTCGAAGCAATCTATTTTACATTCCATTTTATTCTGATATGCACGCAGCAAAGCATATCAAGTTGACGTCTAGTGAGGCGCACTAAAAGTGAGGTTATGTATAAATCGGCAACCACAGTCACATTTCTTATTGAAACTGTGGTACGTCCTGGATATCTCTTGAACACCCTCGGACATCCTTGGACATCCCAGGAAATACCAGGACATCCCCAAATATCCAGGGACATCTCAAGACATCCAAGGGTTTATACACCAGACATCCCCAGCGGTTTACCCCCTGAGTACGTCCTAGATGCACATACCTTAAAAATAGTTTCGCAGATATTCAAGTCGTTTTCGTAATGGTTCTTAACTAACTGGGCTATTGCCTTTATATGACATACGGCGAGGTATATTAAGAAGATATACAGGCATTATCTAAACCCAATTTAGTCGAAACAAAATTCGTCATAAATCGCTGGTTTTTTATTTTCGCTCCAAAATTATACTCATAAAAGTCGTGCACCGAAAGTCACGCGATTTCGGTATTACCGTGTCTTCTTTCACTGAAGCTGCTGCTACCTTCAGAATTACGGGATCCATTACATAAATCGACTTTTGTTAGGAAATTTAAGGACATCCATTAACGTTTTTGGGGTACAATACACACAGGTCCCCTTGACTTACGTCTCAAAATTACGAATACGGTCTAATCACGATTAAGTATCATAAGTTGTATGAACCTGTATAAATGGCAACTCTGGCTCGATTTTGCTCGTCCGGCGGTGTGTTAAATAGTTTGCTAGCTGGCAGCCTGACCTATTCTGAGATTGTAGGCATTTTCGATTCCTTGAGCTAACAAATTATAATCTACCTACCTTCTAGTTCTCAGAATATAAATTATCGCGATATCGCCCAAAATATCTGATTCCTAGAGTGTTTGCGTTAAAGTTACCCCTATTTATAAATATTTAGTCTACAGCATGAGCGTACTTATACGCTCATCATTTCAAATATGCAGACATAAAAAGTAGTACCTCCATCCTCTTAGCCTCTATACATCATTATAACGAGGCAGAAATAATAAACCATGAAAGTTCACATACACCACAACCTTTTGTCTCGAAGTGGCTTAAGATGTAACACGGAGTCACATGTGGAACACAGCCAAGACGCTCCATTTCACTATTAAGCACGATAATTTATTTGGTTTAGGGGGATTAAAAAGCGATAAATTCATCTGTGTGAGCATGTGTATACACAATTAAGAGATCAAGATGCCGCCGGGTAAACAAATACTTTGTTCTTGTTCGCGGTGTCCGTCAGTAGTGGAAGCAGCAGAGAGCGAAAAGGTATCATAGCCCTGACAATTTGATGTAATAATAGGAGAAATGCGGTCGGTCACTCGAGAAATTGGACGCGATCGCATAAGTATCTACAAGAAATTGAGGAACATCTATGCCCGGACCTTGGAGCGATCAAGACCCGTCTATAATGGGATATCAACACCCTTAAGTTCCTTCTCAACTATTTAATATAAGTTCTGAAATGTATCATGTGGTTTTTATGTTTATAGGATGCCATTGTTGTCCTGCCGAATCAAGCTACATATGTTTTTATTTCTATTTATATTTCGGCCACCACAGTGGCATTTTTCAAGTACAATGACATAATGAGACAAACGGGAAAAACAGAATTTTTCCAAAATCGTTATAGTTTTTTCCTTATTTGTTGTGGGATTACAAAATAATTACACATTAACATTGCCACATTTTTACCCCTTAAGATGACATAGTTAAAATTTCGGCACGACTCGTCTCTTGTCCTCGAGCATCAACTTTATTTTTTCTCATAAACGCCATTTTGGATTTCTGCACAGGTGGATAGAGTTTTTAATTCTGATTCGACAAATTTATATGTCATACACAGCCAAACCTATGTTATTACAAAAAAATAATTTCCTAGGTAGGCCTTCAAATTATCAGATAGTTACTTGTTTTGTATATCAAATTTATCGAAAGTCACTTTTATCTTTTCCAGTCTGTATTTGATATGGGATTTCAAAGTAAATTAGATGTTGCCAATGTGACTTTTCTTCTCTACAATATCGAGCAGTCCAATTTTTAATTCGAGGTCTTTTCTTTGGACTTCCATTACCAATTTTTTTTTTATAAGGACGCTATACTTGAATTTTGTTAATTTAGATGGAGTCTCAACTTCAATTATGTACCTACTCTTGTTAGCCATGCATTTGTTGTCGGAACAAAAATTAGTAAATAAAAAGGTACGGTGAAACATGAACACACAAAATTGTATTGATGGTATTGATGGTCTCCCCAGAAGTACTTTGAACTTCGATACTTTCTAAACGGAAAATAAACATCGTTGTTTCATTCAAGTAACTTCGTATCTCTTACCGTTTCCGAGATCGTAATACTGGTGGGGGTTGAATTTGAAGCACCCGGTAATGTGTTGATGGATTGGACTCTTCTGTAACATGCCTGGATCCTTTGTCGACTATGATCCAATTTGGTTGAGTATCATTGACGGAAAGATCTAAATAGTCTAAATGATAATCTCCAAACCGACTGATGGACCATAAGTTTTTTACTTCCAGGTTTTCTTTATGGTTTGTTATTGGATCTTAAATGTCTAAATATTTCACTCCGCCAGCTCAAGGTCAAACTGTTGTGCCTTACATTTCTGTCTGACAAGACAAACAACATGGTTCTTTGCGGATGTCGAAGTACTATTTGTTGCATATTTGAACTGCTACCTGGGGACAGATAAATAAAAAAATACCGACATTATTGTCATTGTACTTGAAAAATGGCACCGTGGTGGCTAAAACGTCGTACAATGGAGTTGAAACATATTTATGAGGCTTCATTGACAAAATTGAAATAAAAAAATCCGCGAGGACCAAAGACGGTTTTACATACGATTGTGAACTCATCGCATGCATGGTCAAAAGACTAGTTTCCAACGGTCTTAAATTTGATTCTGCTAGAACACATTTTTCTGTCAAAATACGTTTGAGTTGGCAGTGATAGCATCGTATTTGACATTTCGATGAAACTCTGCATCATTCCTCATTGGTAGACATTGGACTACAGTTGCAGATATACTTAGTTCCTAAACTTGATTAAAGATCTTATTATGTATAAAAAACAACTAACAATTAGTTCAAATCTATCTGCTACATCACGAAATGGTGATGATTCATGTTCTGCGAACCACAACAAGATGAGTGTTTGCTCATCAGAATCAGAAAGTTTCTCAATGCCTCCAGTCGTCTTTTTGAAGAACATGCTGTGTTTGTATTTAGTTGAGATATCTAAGAAACTTTAAAAGAAGGTTGAAGATGAGCTTAAAGCAATTGGATGGCTAGAATTTAACTTTACGCATATCCACACATGTAATTGATTGTTTCCTTTTTCTGAGAAGTGTAATGCTTTAAGCTTTTTTTTCTCCTTTTTTTTTGGTGGTCAATGCTGTGAACTGTGGCATTTAAATTTAGGGAGTTTTTTTATCGTTTGTGGCAATGTTTTTAGGTGAGTTAAAAAACAGCGGAAGCTGACTCTCCACCTTTTCGTCCCTATTTTGTTTCCTTCCTATTAAGAAAATTACTTTGTAATGCTGTGATGAATAAAGGCCATATAATATTATTACTATTATCTTCAATCACTTTGCCTGTCATTCTGAAATGTTCCATGAATTCACCTCCATTGAGGTAATGTAATGTAATAATTCAGTTTTTTCGATTATCAAGCAAGTATATTTGTTTTCATCACTTTAATCGATATCGGAGATCCAATCGGACTCTGATCTTGAACTATAAAAATCTGATACTTCTGTGAGCTATACAAATAGGTATACACAATAACAAACTAATATACACCTTGCTTGAACATGTTTTCCCCACTGCACATGCTCAGTCGGTTTCAAACTGTAGGGAATGTGATGCTAGGACCTTAATAAAATTTTCGCTGGTATTACGAGCAGAGGACGCATCTTGGCACGAGACACAGAGAAACATTTGAACAATTCCTGTGAGTCCATTAGTAATGTTATCCGACTTATGAATTTGTGGAACGATATGTGATTCAACAACAACAACTTTACCCCACGACGTCAAAGTCATACAAGCTTAATTTATACGTGTTTAGGTAGCTACCAATCATCAGTTCAGATTTAGATAAGTATTTACTTTTATCAGAGATGTACGAATCATTCTGACGCTTAAAACTAATTGTTTGTCATATGTGATGACATACAAACTAACGATGAAATATTGATTAGTATTTAATCAGTTGTCTATTCTACTAATCTGTTCCAAGCAAAAACACTCCATCCTATTGATTTCTTTATAAAATAAGTGCTTATTATCCTAAAGTATAATATTGAGTCACTGCGGTATGAATCAAAGATTTTATCAAATCGATTTCTGATATAAAAATAAGGTACTCAGAATATATATGGCTGCATTCTGACTTGATTCTCTGCATTTGTCAGTAAACATCAAACGATGAGGGCTGTATTTTCCCTTATCCTATTGGCTGTTGCCGTCCAAGCTGTTCGTAAGTATACATTTTCTCCATTCACACGCACCTACAGATTTGTCTGTTATGAACCAATAAGCAAGTTTTCATTAGTGATGCCTCACCTCACTATTAACTAACACGCCAATCTTCGCGCAGGCAGACTTAACACTCAGCAAAAAGTCAATAAGGATGCAAGAGCGTGTTTTTTTTTGTATCGTGAATGATGCTTGAATAAGGTTTAGGTGTAGAGATTTCATATGAGCAGCTTCGAAGAATAGATCAAACTATGTCCACGCTTAAATACCTTTCTCTCTGCTTGTGATAAGATCAATGTTTAGCAAAATTGTATTGCAAATAGACAAGATATGATGCAATCTTAGGAGGTTAGTACATAGTAAATCCTACTCCGCCTGACAAAGTATAAAAATGAATTTTGTTAGATATTTTGTCGTGCAAAATTGACATTTGGACAAATAACAGAGTAATAGTGTTCCTATCGTAATGTCCATATCTCATATTTTATCAGCAGATATGTCTATCATACAAATGCGATTTTTGACACTGCGTCGTGGAAAAGTTATAATTCCTTATCCCCGATTAGTTGTGTCATTTGATATGGTTTCTAGTTTCAAGAGTTACTAAAAAACTATCTACGATGTTGAATCATTACTAACCTCAAAATCTAGGACATACGGGTATATTCAAAAGCGAAAAATCGATATTTGGTACTGTATACCAGAGGGTATCGACGATTAATTGTTTACATTGAACTTTGACGTTCTACCATTTTTACCCTTTTATACCAATCTGTACCCAACAGTTGAGAAAGAACGACGTGTAGAGCGAGCTATAACTTTAGCTCAGCCGCTGATAAACACAATTTTGACTAAAATTAACAATGGTACTAAAACTTTCACCTAAAGATACTCTCTTATGTACTACCTTTCAGCAACATGCCCTGTAGTCGATGGACCTAGATCGCAGTATATCCCACATGAGACGAACTGTTCCCTGTTCTACCAGTGTTCAAATGGAACGCCTTATCTGAAAGTATGTCCTGCCGGACTATACTTCAATCCTAAACTAGATGTATGTGATTATCCACGGAATGTTGACTGTCACAACAAAAATGGAACTACATCAACACCGTGGCACGTAACCACCTCTACTCCATGGAACTCAACTACATCTAAATCATGGAATGTAACTACCTCAGCACCTCAGAACGTAACTACCTCTGTTCCCTGGAACGTGACTACCTCTGCACCTCAAAACGTAACTACCTCTGTTCCATGGAACGTAACTACATCTGTTCCATGGAACGTAACTACCTCTACTCCATGGAATGTAACTACATCTGTTCCATGGAATGTGACCACATCTGCTCCATGGAACGTAACTACCTCTACACCTCAGAACGTAACCACCTCTGTTCCATGGAACGTAACTACCTCAGCACCTAAGAACGTAACTACCTCTGTTCCCTGGAACGTAACAACATCTGCTCCATGGAGCGTACCTACATCTGTTCCATGGAACGTGACTACATCTGCTCCCTGGAACGTTACTACATCTGCTCCGTGGAACGTAACCACATCTGCTCCATGGAACGTAACCACATCTGCTCCGTCGAACCTAACTACTTCAGCACCTCGAAATGTAACTACCTCTGTGCCATGGAGCGTAACTACATCAGCACAGTAAGTGTTTCGTTATATGTCTCGCAATCGTTCAATTAGCATGAACGTCATGTGTCATTGAAGTCGCATCGCTGAAGTTGAAGTAATTACGTAATGTCATTTCACTTTTAAATTCTACGTCAATGCACCTAGTATACAAACATAGCCATTACTTGGAAACTTGTTGGTTTTAAATGTCAGTTGTACAGCCAAAATCAAGTGACAGCTAAGTCGTGTGAAACAGTGTTCCATGATATAACCTTCAAAATAATTTGTGTAGAAGATTAGTTGTTTTTTATATTTGTAATTAAAATTAATATCGATAAAAGTTGTTACAAGCGATCAGCTTTTTTAAATTACTCGGAGTTGTCGCCGTTCAAAACCGCGAGTTTTCTTCATTTGTTTGCAACATTGGGGAAACGATATGAAAATACTCAAGCACCATCAACACCAATTAGAGGGCATTCACCGTAAAGCAATATCATAGTCTCAATCTTTGACATATCCAAAACTATGTTGACAGCATGAACATTCTACAAAATAACAATTGTTTCTAGCACAAATGCCACAACTCCATCATGGACCACAGCATCAACAACCTCAACAAGTATGTATTTTTCTATTCTACTCAAAAATCATTTACAAATGATTATTGTATGGATAATAACTAAACCCCAAGTTTCAAATCGTAGGAAATTTTCTTCATATTCCATTGATACTCTCCTATTGGAGTTACATATTTGATGTTTTTGGTATTGCTTAATGCGTGAAAACAGGATTCGATTATTGGGTTCCTAATGGCAGTATTCTTATGATTATGTCACTCCAATTGTTGTATTCATAATTTTAGGTTCCACTTCAAATCCTGTGACAACTTCTACAACGCCAAGATCTACAAGTGGTACTACCTGGACTCCTACTAATGCAACAGAAACTACCACAAGAAGCGCTCCAACCAAGCCTACAAGAAAACCATGCCCTCACCATCATTCCTCAGAGTCTTATTCAAAATCTAGCTCGTCTTCTTCATCATCAGATTCATCTTCATCGTCAGATTCATCTTCATCACGAAGCTCATCTTCTTCATCATCTGATGAGTCCAAATCCAAGAAAGACAAGCACCACAAGCATCATAAACATCATTCCAAAGAGCACAAGGACCACAATAAGGACAAGTCAAAAGAAAAGAAGCATCATAAGAAACACCACTCTAAGGAACACAAACATCACGGAAAGAGCGTTGAACTTGCAGAGGAGTTTGTATCCATGGACATCCTGAATTTGAAGCTTCAGTCAAAGTGCATAGATATGGAGAACTTCTATTTGACCTCTCACCCATACGATTGTGATAAGTACGTCATATGTGACTATGGAGATGCAGTAGAACATGCATGTCCTGATCACTTTGCCTACAGCCCAGACATTAGTATTTGTGTTGCAAAAGGTTTCGAGAAATGTGTTCTGTCTAGACACTTCTAGACAAAGGGGATGTAGATTTGGTAACGACAATAACTAAAGTTCCCTTCTATTGGTGAGGCGAATTTTCTGAAAGCACGAATTAAATTTTCTTCAAAATACCTTGTTTTACTAAATTCCATCCCCTTGTACGACCTCAATTTTGTTGAATATGTTGCAATTGTTCTCATGTACCAAAATAGAGAGGATAGTAATGCATTTTACGGCTCTGTTGCTTCTTTAATGGAATACTAAATATTATGCAATTCTACACAAAACTGACTCATCATAAAAAATACAACCTTTTTCTAGTCGCAAATTTATCTTCTCACACTAAACTACTGTTTATGCGATTGATATATAGCTATCTACCGAACTAAGTCGAAATAGCAAGTATGCGATGTGCTTTGAACCGCGAAGTCACAGCCAATGGTTAGGATATAAGTCGATCAGGCTAATGGTGAAGTATTTGTAGACTACAAACCAAATAAAAGCCCATTTTTTTATCGGTAAGTATTGATATAGAATAGTCAGCGCGGTATTGAGAGGGCTTGTACTGCAACTTTGGGATATCAGGACAGTTGTGAGATAGTCTTTTTTTCACTCCAGTTATTTTTTGGCGCTCTAGATGTCAATCTTAGGTTTGCCAACAACATTTTATCCCTAACATAACAGAACAAAAGGGCCAGTAGTAGTAGTGGTGGTAGAGAGACGAAGCCTAGCAACCAGCCTACCTTTGGCCTTTTTGCCGACCATGTAGTACCAACACTGTTCTACTCCACAAGTTATCTGCTGTGAACTGGACCTAACTTCTGAGGCGGAGGTTGGAACTCCAGAGCCTCGCGTCATGTTGTACAATTATTAAGTGCATTTTAATTTTTTCGCTTTACTTAATTTATCCCTGTTTTAACAATAATTAAACGAATCTCATCACAACACAGATAGTATTTCTGCCTTGATGTACGAGAGTGTGCTCAGCAAAAAAAAAAAAGACGCTGGAATATCCTCACCTTGGCAGGCAAGTATACTCAAAAGTATGCACTATATCTCTAAGTAAGGATTGGCGCCTTCTAATTCCAATAATTCGTTGGCATCGATGAACTATACGTGATAGTTTTCCATACCTTGAATAGGCATTTTCATTGTTAAAGCTATAGGACCGGTATTAATTAATCTGAGTAGGAGTTCTATCCGTTTTAAGAGCCTAGCGACATTGCAATCCCGTCTGGATACATTCCATGAAAATTTTGCTGCTTTGGAAAGCATGGGTTTTTCGGTTAAAGAGTACATGTTCTGTAAGCATTTAGATGAATCCATTTTAACCACTTTTGAGTCTCAATTGAATGCTACTCGTTCATCCATACCTACTTTTAAACTATCTACATCCTACATCTGTTCATTTACAAAATCGGCAAATAAATCAATGTCGGTAAGACTTTTTAGAAGGTCTTTGGATTCACTTAGTTCAGTGCTGAAAATCATCAAAGCGTGCACAATTCATTGATAAACGTCAGGTTTTCCGTTAGAGAATGTGACTTTCTTCTTTTCTACATGTTCTCTAAGCACTTAGATGAGTCTGTTTTAACCACTTTGGATATTAATTTATTGCCGCTTGCTCATCCATACCTACTTTTGAACAATCTACATCCTCAATCACTTGCCCTTGTTGATTTGCAAGCGGTACGGTCGGGGAACAATGATTCGTAATCATTCTTTTCTTAGGAGACGATATAATTTTGGAATCGTCATGTAGTCCTGTGTCTGAACTGGTTGATGATAGTAAAAGTTGAACCATTTTTCATACATTGTTTCAGATATAGGATTAGCTGGGCTCCTTAAGTCGTTCGTTAACAAGATCGGAAAATAAAACAATGTTAGCAGGAGCTATCCTTTTTAGAGGGTCTTCCGATATATTTGGCGCAGTGCACCACCTTAAGTGCCATCAAAGTGCGTACAATTCATTGATAAGCATCGGCTACTCCATTAGAAAGTGGGACTTTCTTCTTTTATACATGTTCTCTAAGCATTTAGATGAGTCTGTTTTAACCACTTTGGATATTAATTGATTGCTACTTACTCATAAATGCCCACTATTAAACAATCTCATCTTCAATCATTTGCCCTTGTTGACTTGTAAACGGTACGGTCGGGGAACAATGATTCGTAATAATTATTTTCTTAGGAGGCAATATGACATTTGAATCCTCATGTAATACAGTATCCGACTGGATGATGGTAGATGGATAGGAGAAGTCGTTCATACTTTGAATAGGCACGTTCATTGTTGTAGGTAGAGGATCAGGCTTGCCGGAGTCCTCATGTCGATCAATAACAAGATCGGAAATAAGTAAATGTTAGTAGGAGTGACTATCCTTCTTAGAAGGTCTTACGATAAACTTAGTTCAGTGCACCACCTTAAGCGCTGAAAATTTTCAAAGCCCATACAATTTATTCATAGAGGGGTACCATTGACCACGCTTGATAGCAATTGGCCATCTTCAAGCCTTAGATAATGGTTCCATTATTGAATCAAATTCTACCCTAGCTACATTGCGATCCCTTCTGGATAAATTCCACGAAAATGGTAATGCTTTGAAAAGGATGGACTTTTTCGTTAAATAATGGAACTTTCTTTTATTCTACATGTTCTCTAGGCATTTATATGCATCTATTTTATCCACTAAAGAGTACCTTTTTTTGCAAACTTCCAAACCCAAATTCAAATTTAAACTAAACTCACTGTGTTTAGATCCACTTTAAATCGTAATAATTTTCAAATGTGACCCGTGTGAACACCGGCGTACTTGTGTCACAATTGCGTTGACCCCGTTAGTAAATGACAACAACGCATCATTGTACTCTTGGGACGTATGTTCGCGCCCCGGTCCTTTCGGCTCTTTGTAAGACAAAGCCGTACGCACTTGTTGCATCTTTCGATCCCAATCCCCACAGTCCAAATCGACAAATACCCCGGTGTCTGGAAACCTTTGGTCTTCCCCAAACGGTGCTTCGTGACTCACTTTCATCAGACGCTCAAGCGCCTGAACCCTTTGTTCGCCGATGCTGAAATTTACTGTTCTCGCGTAATTAGTCCATTGTAATAGATGTTTCGCATTAGCCCACATCCCACAAGCTACCATTTCCATGTTTACGGTCCAGGATATGTACTTTGGCATCCTAATTGGCGGATCTTCTGTAGCCTCTGAATTGATTTCTATTCGCGAAGGTGATGGTTGAGGTTTACCTGGTTTCGTTGCTGTTACTTTTGCGCGCTTCTTGGACGCCAGTTCATGTGTAGAGATCTCGCATTTCGCACCTAGTCTTGTTGTTATTGGTGACTGTGCAATTTCTTGATCCCCTTCTTCTGATTCCATCCGTTCCATTTTAAAAACCGCATGGTTGCTCGTGAGTTGCGCACTAAAACCTACTCCACGAAAGCCATCGCTCCCAAAGCGTTCCTGATGGCAATTAAAGATGGTTCTTCCCTAATCTGGAACATTTCCTGCATTGACTTTCGTCAATATGTACAAAACTCTTAATGCAATCCAAAACCCCTTCCATCTCTTGGTAAGCAACCCTGTAATGGGCGATGCGTTCTACCCAATCACGTAACGAACATTGGTATTCGTACCAATGGGCATAATTTTTGAATCTATGGGCATGTATTTTATTTAGCTTTCTAGGTAGACTGGGGAAAAGTGTACCTTCACTAAAGGGTAACCCGCAAAACTCTGCAGACGGACCGATGTTTGCTCGAAAGTCCATACGGCAAGCTGCCACGATCACTTCTCGTTTTTCCTAGTTCACGTTTAGATTCAGCTGACTCCTGTTGAAGTCGTCCCCTTTGTAGTTGATGACCGACGGACCTTCTCCCTCTAAAATGTAATTTGAACACTATACTTTGCCGGTAAAACTTTAACAGGCACTAACTCTCCTCTCCATAACCCTTTCCAAACTTCACTGTACCTCCCTTTCCAAATGCGCACCATTAGAACAATCTGATGCGCCAGATTTCTATGATCCAAACTACATCTGTCACAATCACACTCAGCTTTAGCATCTTCAACGTTTTCCTCAACATCCTCTTCAAAGCGCCTTTTGAAGTTATTGTTTAAGCAGTGCACTGCTACAAACACGATCATCACAAGCAGTACCGCTGGGGATGCAAATACGAACATGATTTTGATCGCCAGCCAAGTAGGATCGTGATGGTTTTCATCGATTTCGGAAATCGTTAAGCTAGTTGCATTCAACATTTCATCTTCGATCAGTTAAAGACATCGGAAACCTGTTGTTGGTACACAGAAGTTTGAATACATCTTGTAACAATACAACTTGTCGACACTAACTGTTCAACATAAATGTCTTATTGCTGTCAATGCATGTGCATATAGGCGCATATTCAGATTAAAAATACACAATGTGATTTAAATATATTCTATCGTGATTAAAGAGTATCTTGAATGACGAGACACATTCAGAGAAATGAGATCATTATACAGATCGAGTAGGAGGTCCTCCGATCCAGTGTACCACCTGAATTTTGATAGAGACGTACGATAGCGTTTTCAAATCTTCAAGCATTAGAGAATGCTTCAATCATTGAACCAAATTCTAGCAAAGCGACATTCGTTTTGGATACATCTAACCAAAATGTTGCTGATTTGAAACACATGGGCCTTTCCGTTAAAGAATGGAACACTTTTCTTTTTCATCTACATCCTCAAACATTTGTCCTTTTTGATTTGTAAACGGTACGGTCGAGGAACAATGATTGTTAGTTATTTTCTCAGGAGGCAATGTAATATTGGAATCCTCATGTAGTCCAGTAGTTATTATCCTTTGCAGAAAGTCCTCCATGCACTTGGTTCAGTACATCATCTTCTAAACATCGGCTTTTCCGTTAGGGAATGGATCTTTCTTCTTTTCTACGTGTTCTATTAACATTTAGATGAATTTGTTTTAACCACTTTGGATATTAACTGATCGCCATTTGCTCTCATCCCTACCTATTTTTGAACAATCTACATCCTCAAACATTTGCCCTATCTAAGGTGGTTGATGGTAGATTCATAGATGGGGTCAACGTTATTAGATGTTAGTATCCTTTTTAGAAGGTCTTCCGATGCATTTAGTTCAGTGCACCACCTTAAGTGCTAAAAATTACCAAAGCGCGTACAATTGTTCACTGACAGAGGTACCATTAACCACGCTTGATAGCATTTTCTTAC